TGGTTTATTGGAGATAAGAGTCTCATAAGCTTTCCTGCCTGGGCTGGCTTTGAACCATGATCCTCAGATCTCAGCGTCCTGAGTAGCTAGAATTACAGGTGTGAGCCACAGGTGCTTGGTTTATCTACCTTTCTTTAATTCATAAATCTTTGAATGCATGACAAGAGGAAGTAGATTGTGAAAACTTGCATAACCCAGAAGAGCATCTGCCCCTGTAGCTCTGCTTCTAGACAGGAAGACTGGCTTTGAGACTTCAGGACCTAGAGCTCTGAAGTACAGAGCTCCACCAGAAACAGAAACAGTCAGGTTCTGCCGGATTGCTGACCCAACTCCTTGACAAGCAGGCCTGGCTCTTCTTGTGCTGTGGGATTGAGGAGTTTCTGTGGAGCTGTGACTGCACATTTTCTTTTTCTTCTACTGTCTGTTTTTCACTTAACTCCAGTGGGTGTCTACCACACAATCTGCCAAGGCTGCTGGGCACAGCCACCAGACATCCTCTGCCCATCTGCATGAGATCTCAGGATGCAGGTGGGAAGTTGAAGTTATTACAGTGGGAAGAGGGGTATACATGCACGTGTGTGTATAGCTAAAGGGATATGACAAGAAAAAGAAGGTTATATCCCAGACTACATGGTATCTGTCTGGCCGTCATAAGACCAGTGTTCTGGGTTTTATTTCCAAAAAATCCTTGTCTTCCTGTTAAAAAGGAATGAGCAGGAAGGGCTCTGCCCCATGGCCCTTCTCCTTTGCCTACCTGGAGTATGCATGCATTGACTGCCGCAGTAAAGGCCTCCTACCAAGAAGGGCTACAAAACACCAGGAAAAAAGAGTCATGGAATCCTAGAAGCATCAAGGATTTTGCTAGACCCAGGGCATTCAGCTGGGTTTCCTGTTAATGTGAGAAAATGAACTCCCACATTGTTGATCTTCTGGTTATTCAGAGTAAACATATTCTGAAATAATAAAGGTAGGTTTAGTCATTTTGTATTTCATTCTCCTGTAAAAGCATGTTTCTAACATGCTATGTTATCATTTGTTGTTTGTCTTGTCCATTAGATTCTGAAGTCCTTGAAATGAAAAACTTTTTCCCCCCAGTCCTGGGGCTTGAATTCAGGGCCTAGGTGCTGTCCCTGAGCTGCTCTTTGCTTAAGGCTAGTGCTCTATCACATGAACCACAGCTCCACTTCCGGTTTTTTATGAGAATTGTATTGGAGATGAGACTCTCACAGTCTTTCTTGCCCTGGCTGGCTTTGAACTTCGATCTTCAGATCTCAGCCTCCTGAGTAGCTAGGATTCTAGATGTGAGCCACTAGCACTGGGTGTAAAAGACTTTTTATTGGCCTGCAATGCTTAGCAATAGAGCACCTACCTAGTAAGTAATAGGCCCTGAGTTCAAATCCTAGAACCACATCAATCAGCCAATCAATAGGAGTTTAGTATGACAGTTCCATATGTGCATATAATAGCATATAATATCATACCCCCTTTGTCTACTGAAACTTATATATTCATATTTGTGTTACTCCTTGATATAATTTCTAAAATTAAACAGGCACTTTTTTACCCCCCAATACTGGGGCTTGAACTCAGGGGCATTATCTCTGAGCTTCTTTTGCTCAAGACTAGCATTCTAGCACTTGAGCCACAGTGCCACTTCCTGCCTTTTCTGTTTATGTGGTACTGAGGAATCAAACCCAGGACTTCATGCATGCTAGGCAAGCACTCTACTACTGAGCCACATTCCTAGCTGCAGGCATATTTTTTTTGATAAGTGAAACAAATTCTTCATTCTCTAATTAAATCTCCAAAGACCTGAGAAAAGCAAGTGAGATATAAAGAATGACTAAATAATACAGATTTAATAACTGGTTTTCATTTTGGTAAGATAGATATATCATGCAGTTGATAAGAGCATTATTTTTAGTAAGATTAGCTCCTTTCTTTATTAAGTAAAAACAACAGTTTAACTTTTGGGATGAATTTCTTTTTTTTTTTTTTGGGTCCAGTTGTGGGGCCTGAACTCTGGGCCTGAGCGCTGTCCCTCAGCTCCTCAGCTCAAGGCTAGTGCTCTACCACTTGAGCCACAGCACCACTTCCGGCTTTTTTCTTTTTGCTTATGTGGTGCTGAGGAATTGAACCCAGGGCCTCAGGCATGCAAGGCAAGCGCTCTACCACTGAGCCAACTTCCCAGCCCCATGGGATGAATTTCTTGTATTTTTAAATTTTTTATTATTAAGCCGGGTGCTGGTGGCTCACACCTGTAATCCTAGCTACTCAGGAGGCTGAGATCTGAGGATCTCGGTTCAAATCCAGCCTGGGCAGGAAACTCTGTGAGACTCTTATCTCCAATAAACCACCAGAAAACCAGAAGAAGTGCTGTGGCTCACGTGGTAAAGCACTTGCCTTGAGTTGAAGAGCAGAAGGACACCACTCAGGCCCAGAGTTCAATCCCCACAACTGACCAAAAAAAAATTATTATTATTATGAAGGGGATGTACAGACAGGTTGTAGTTTCATAAGTCAGGTAATGAGCATTTCTTTTTGGACAATGTCACCCCTTCCTTACTTCCAGATTTTCCCTCTCACCCCACACTAAGTTGTTTTTGTTTTGTTTTATTTTGGGTCTGGTCGTGGGCCTGAACTCTGAGCCTGGGCGCTGCCCCTCAGCTCTTCAGCTCAAGGCTAGCGCTCTACCACTTAAGCCACAGCACCACTTCCCGTTTTTTGGTGGTTAATTGGAGATAAGAGTCTCAGGGCTGAGTGCGGTGGCTCATACCTGTAATCCTAGCTACTCAGGAGGCTGAGATCTGAGAGGATCCTGGTTCAAAGCCAGCCCAGGCAGGAAAGTCTGTGAGACTCTTATCTCCAATAAACCACTAGAAAACCAGAAGTGGCGCTGTGGCTCAAGCAGTTGAGCACTCGAGCTGAGGGATAGCACCCAAGCCCAGAGTTCAAGCCCCATGACCAACCAAAAAAAAAAAAAGTCTCATGGGCTTTCCTCACCTGGGCTGGCTTTGAATTGCAATCCTCAGATCTTAGCCTCCTGAGTAGCTAGGATTACAGGTGTGGGCTACAGGCACCTGGTTTCCTTCCTCCTTTCTTCTTTTTTCTTTTGTGGTACTTGGGTTAAACTCAGAGCTTTGAGCTTACCAAGCACTAACTCTACCCCTTGAGCCAGGTCCAGGTCTTTTTCATTGAGATCCTATATTTCATATAGGATCTCAAATTTTACCCTAGTGTTGGCCTCCATTGCATGTTCCACCTCTTTGGTGCCCATGTACAGTATCCTGTCCAGTTTATTTGTTGAGATTAGGGGGAGTCTCACAAACTTTTGCCTGGAATAGCCTCAAGCCACAATTCTCCAAATCTTTACCTCTCAATTAAGTTAAGGATTATAGGCATGAACCACTACACCGGCTTTAAATTTTTTTTTTTTTTTTTGTCAGTCATAGGGCTTAAACTCTGGGCCTGGGCACTGTCCCTGAGCTCTTCAGCTCAAGGCAAGCACTCTACCACTTGAGCCACAGTACCACTTCCAGTTTTCTGGAAGTTAATGGGAGAGAAGAATCTCATGGACTTTCCTGCCCAAGGCTGGCTTTGAACCTCAATCCTCAGATCTCAGCCTCCTGAGTAGCTAGGATTACAGGCGTGAGCCACCAACACCCAGCTTGGCCTCATATTTTGTTCTTGTTTAGCAGTGGTTTCAAAGAGGGCACTGTTGGCTTTGGGGCAGAGGTGCTGGCACCTGTGCATGCTGGGAACACACTGTACTACTGCTACACCCCCAGCCTGTTGTTGGCATTTTGGATATGAGCGTTCACTGTGCTGGACTGTCCCACACATAAAAATTTAGCATCTTTGGCTTCCGTCCACCAGATTCCATCTTCCAGCTGGCATGACAGCACACGCACACTCCCTTGGTCAGAACATCCTTGTAGGTTTGAGGCTGTAGCTCAGTGGTAGATACCACACACAGGCTTATCACGTGGGAAGCCCTGGGTTCAGTCCCAGTCCCCAGCCCCGCCCCACCCCCCAAAAAAGAAAGGGAAAAAAAGAACCATTGTTCTATAAAGTTGGAATATCTAAATTAAGAAGGTATTCTTGCTGGATTCCAAGAATGTAAAAAAACAAGACATACAGTCAGGAGCTGGTGGCTCAAACCTGTAATCCTAGCTACTCTGGAGGCTGAGATCTGAGGATCCCAGTTCAAAGCCAGCCCCCAGGCAGGAAAGTCTCTGAGACTCTTATCTCCAAGTAAGCACTCAAAAACGAACTGTGGCTCAAAGTGATAGAGTGCTAGCCTTGAGCTGAAGAGCTCAGGGACAGTGCCCAAGCCCTGAGTTGGAGCCCCAAGTGCACACACACATGTATACAATGTATGCACACACATACATGTACATACACAAGGTGTTCTTTTTCTTTAGTAGGTAAATAGACTATCCAGCTGATAGTTGTAATTGTTGGTAATCAGATGGCAGTGTGTTGTAGCTGAATTCTACAATGATATTGAATTAGTTGTGTTAAATAAATGATAAAGAATTAAGTTGGTTTTTCTATAACCAACTTATGTTTTTCTATAATCTAAAATGAGAACCCTCTTTTTTTGTTGTTGTTGTTGTTGATCGTGGGGCCTGAACTCTGTGCCTGGGCGCTGTCCCTCAGCTCTTCAGATCAAGGCTAGCGTTCTACCACTAGAGCCACAGCGCCACTTCCTGCTTTTTCTGCTTATGTGGTACTGAGGAATCAAACCCAGGGCCTCATGCATTCAGGGCAAGCACTCTACCACTGAGCCACCTTCTCAGCCCCAAGAGAACCCTCTTAAATGTCTCTATTTAGAATCATTTTTCTACCTTAATACGTTAACTAGAATAAATAAGATTTACCTTAAACCTCATAATCTCAGAGATGTGAGGGGAAGTGTGTGTAATTTTCATTTACTTCTACTTCAATGATTAAACAATGAATTCTCATTTTAACAATCCATTTTGTTTTTCTTTCAGAATTGGTCCCCAGGAAAGATCTTCTTGTTGAAAATGTGCCATATTGTGATAAACCAACTCAGAAGCAATGAATTTTCTAGAGTAAAACAAGTCTTCACACCATTACCTTTAAAATGGATCATTCTACCCAAAGTCCTGGAATTCAGATACTTCTCTCTAAATGGACAGATGGGAAAATGAGTGAAGGAAAGAAGAACTTCATAATTAAATTCACATTAAAATGACATTGCTTAGAACTGCAGAGTATAGCTAAGTTGTTTGCTTTTTAAGTTTCTCATAGTTCTTTCAAGAAATTAATTTTGGGGCCAGGCGCTGGTGGCTCACGCCTGTAATCCTAGCTACTCAGGAGGCTGAGATCTGAGGATTGCGGTTCAAAGCCAGCCCGGGCAGGAGAGACCGTGAGACTCCAATCTCCAATAAACCACCAGAAAACTGGAAATGGCGCTGTAGCTCAAGTGGTAGAGCGCTCGCCTTGAGCTGAAGAGCTGAGGGACAGCGCCCAGGCCCAGAGTTCAAGCCCCACGACCGACAAAAAAAAAAAAAAAAAAGAAATTAATTTTGGGGGTAGGAGACATGGCTCATATGTTAGAATGCTAGCCAGTGGATGAAAGTGTCAATTGAGTTCAAGTCCCAGTCTCCAACCAATAAAAAGAAAGGAAATTTATTTTTTTCCCCAGTCTCCAACCAATAAAAAGAAAGGAAATTTATTTTTTTCCCCAGTCTCCAACCAATAAAAAGAAAGGAAATTTATTTTTTCCCCCCAGTACTGGGACTGAATTCAGGGCTCATGCTCTTATTTAGCTTTTTCACTCATGGTTGACACTCTACTGCTTGAAACACACCTCCACTTCTGGCTTTTTGCTAGTTAAGATAAGAGATAAGAGTCTCACAGACTTTCCTACTGGGGATGGCTTTGAAACACATTCCTCATAATCTCAGTCTCCTGAGTAGCTAGGATTACAGGTGTGAGCCTCCGGCACCCAGCCTAGCTAAGTATTTTGACAGGCCATCAGAGAAGAACTCATTTTCATTAAAAGCAAACTTTGCATTTAAAGTGCCAAATGAGGGGTTGGGAAGGTGGCTCAGTGGTACAATGCTTGCCTTGCATGCATGAGGCCCTAGATTCAAGCCCTCAGCACCACTTAAGCAGAAAAAGCCGGAAGTGGCGTTGTGGTTCAAGTGGTAGAGTGCTAGCCTTGAGCTGAAGAGCTGAAGGACAGTACCCAGAGTTCAGGCCCCACAATGGTCCACAATAAATAAATAAATAGGTGCAATGAATATGTGTTCATTCATGTGCTTCCATTTACATTGGCTCTCACTAGCTATTAGACACGTTGGGGAGTTTTCTTCCCATGGGAAATGCAGTATTAGATATAAGTTATTAGATTAAATTGATGTTTAGTTTTCAGACTATTAAATTGGCCAAAATTCTGTTTGTTGCCAGCTCTCCTCAGAAGGTAGCCTTTGTTTCCCAAACCACTATAACTATTTCTATAGCTAACAAAGAATTACATGATTTCTCTTTAGAGCTAGAACATGATCTTTGTGTTCTTAAAGACATTTTTATCTTCAAAGATGGATAAATGTCAAAATAAGCCCAGTGCTGATAGTTCCCACCTGTAATCCTAGCTACTTAGGAGTCTGAGATCTGAGAATCACATTTCAGAGCCAGCCTGGACAGGAAAGTCTGTAAGACTCTTGTCTCCAACTAAGGACCAGAAAAACGGAAGTGGCATGTGGCTCAAAATGGTAGAGTACTAGCCTTGAGCAAAAGAGTTCAGGGACAGTGCCCAGGCCTAGAATTCAAGTAAATATCAAAATGACCTCACGTCACTGTAGCTTAGCTTCTGAGCACAGTAGACTTTCCTACAATTCTGTAGCTGTAATAACGGTTGTCTTTTCTTTGTTCTTTTTGTGCTGGTACTATGGTTTGAACGTGGTACCTGGGCACAGTCCCTTAGCTTTTTTACTCAGGGCTGGTGCTCTTCCATTTGAACCACAGCTCTACTTTTGTCATTTTCCTGGCTAATTGGAGATGAGAATCTCATGAAGCAGAGCCCTGGTGACTTGTATCTGTTATCTAGCTACTCAGGAGCCTGAGATCTGAGGATCGTGGTTCAAAGCCAGCCTGGGCAAGAAAGTCCTTGAGAGTTTTTTTTTTTTTAGTTGTGTGGCTTGAATTCAAGACCTCAGTACTGTCCCTGAGCATTTTTGCTCAAGGCTAGTGTTCTACCACTTTGAGCCACAACACTTCCAGTTTTCTGGTGGTTAATTGGAGATGTCTTATGAACTTTCCTGACTGGGCTGGCTTTGAACCACAACTTTTTTTGAGTCCTTGTGAGACTCTTATCTTTAATTAACCACTCAAAAACTAGAAGTGGCACTGCTGTTCAAAGTGATAGAGTGCTAGCCTTGAGCAAAATAGCTCAGGGACAGTACTCAGGCCCTGGGTCAAGTCCTACAACCACCACCACCAACAACAAAAAGAATCTCATGGGCTTTTTTGCCCAGGCTGGCTTCAAACTGTGATCCTTAGATCTCAGGCTCCTGAATAATTAGGATTATAGGCATGAGCCACCTGAGCCCAGCTCCTAGTCTTCCTTTTTTTTTTTTTTTATTGTAAAGATACTATACAGAGGGTTACAGTTACATGAGTGAGGTAATGAGTACACTTCCTCTTGAACATTGTTACCCCCTCCATTGTTTTCCCCCTACCATCCCCTCCCTCCCTCCCTTCCCCGAGGTTCTTTTTTTTTTTTTTTTTTGATTGTGATTAAGTGATTACATAATTTCAACGTCACAAGTTCATTCTAACTTCCCTGGAGCAAATTGTCTACCACAGTCTGTAATATATAACAGTGTTCACATGTTATATACCATATTTGTGATCAGCAGCATGGGGATATTTAGTAGTGGTTCAACCAGATGAGCAGGAGTTCTTTGTTTCTTAAGTCCTGTTAGTTTTGTCGTATCACCTAACCTTTTGGATTTAGCATCCACTTATCAGGGAGACCATGTACCGTTTGTCTCTTCGTTCTTGGCTTACCTCGCTCAACATGATTCCTTCTAGCTCCATCCATTTCCCTGCAAATGCCATTATTTTGTCATTTCTAATGGCTGCATAATATTCCATTGTGTATAGATACCACATTTTTTGGATCCATTCATCTGTGGTGGGGCACCTAGGTTGTTTCCATATCCTAGCTATTGCGAACAGTGCTGCAATAAACATGGAGGTGCACGTGTCCTTGTATATTGGTTCCTGTTGTTCAGGGTAGATGCCTAGAAGTGGTATGACTGGGTCGTAAGGGAGGTCAATCTTTAGCTTTCTAAGGACCCTCCAGACTGCTTTCCAAAGTGGTTGTATAAGTGTACATTCCCACCAGCAGTGTAACAGGGTTCCTCTTTCTCCACATCCCCTCCAGCATTTGTCGTTGGCTGATTTGTGGATGTGGGACATTCTGACTGGGGTGAGGTGGTATCTCAGGGTTGTCTTTATTTGCATTTCCTTCACCACCAGGGATGATGAACATTTCCTCATGTGTTTCTTTGCCATTTTTATTTCTTCATTTGAGAAGTCCCTCTTTAGTTCCCTTGCCCATTTAGTAATTGGTTGGTTAGGTTTGGGAGGGATTAGTTTCTTGAGTTCCCTGTATATACAGGATGTTAACCCCTTGTCTGATATATTGCTGGTAAATATTTTTTCCCAATTAGTTGGTTGTCTTTCTAGCTTAGTTGCGATAGATTTAGCTGTGCAGAAGCTTTTTATTTTAAGGTAGTCCCATTTGTCGAGTCTCTCTCCAACTTGTTGTGACCCTGGGACTCTGTTCAGGAAGTTCCTTCCTGTGCCTATTAGTTCAAGTGTCTCTCCTACTCTGTCCTGCAGTAGTTTCAGAGATTCAGGTTTAATGTTAAGGTCTTTAATCCATTTTGAGTTGATGTTGGTGCATGGTGATAGGCTGGGGTCCACTTTTAGTTTTCTGCATATGGCTGCCCAGTTTTCCCAGCACCAGCGGTTGAAGAGGCTGTGTTTCTTCCATTGTATGTCTTTGGCTCCTTTGTCGAATATCAGCTGGCTGTAGGCCTGTGGATTTATATCTGGATCTTCTATTCTGTTCCATTGGTCTTCGGGTCTGTTTTTGTGCCAGTACCATGCTGTCTTTGTGATTATAGCTCTGTAGTAGAGTTTGAAGTTCGGCATGGATAGCCCTCCCATATTGTCTTTATCCCCTAGAATTGTTTTGGCTATTCTAGGTCTTTTGTTGTTCCATATAAATTTTTGGACTGTTTTCTGTATTTCAGTGATGTACGTCATTGGGATTTTAATAGGAATTGCATTGAATTTGTATATTAGTTTTGGAAGTATTACCATCTTTACTATATTAAGTCGGCCTGGCCTATCCAGGAGCATGGGAGGTCTTTCCATTTCCTAGTGTCTTCTGCAATTTCTTTCTTTAACTTTTTATAGTTCTCATTAAATAGTTCTTTTACATCTTTGGTTAGGTTAATTCCTAAATATTTTATTTTTTGGGAGGTTATTATGAATGGGGTTACTCCCTTTATTTCCCTCTCTTCCTGTACGTTATCAGTGTATAGGAAGGCAACTGATTTTTGTGGGTTTATTTTGTATCCTGCTATTTTGCCGAAGTGACTTATGATTTCTAAAAGTTTGGGGATGGAGTTTTTGGGATCGTGGAGGTATCGTATCATGTCGTCTACAAAAAGGGATAGTTTAACTTCTTCTTTCCCTATGCGGATCCCTTTAATGTCTTTTTCTTGCCTTATTGCCCTGGCTAAGGGTTCTAGGACTATGTTGAAGAGGAGTGGAGACAGTGGGCATCCTTGCCTTGTTCCTGTTTTTAGGAGGATTGGTTGTAGCCTTTCCCCATTAAGTATAATATTGGCTATTGGTCTGTCATAAATGGCTTTTATTGTTTTTAGAAATGTTCCTTCTATTCCTATTTTCTCCAGAGCTTTTAGCATGAATGAATGTTGAATTTTATCAAAGGCCTTTTCTGCATCTGTGGCGATAATCATGTGATTCTTGACCTTGGCTCTGTTGATATGCTGGATTACATTTATTGACTTACGTATGTTAAACCATCCCTGTAGTCTTTCTTTTAACCAATATAAATTCAATAACTTTTCTTGCAATTCCATGTCCACTTACTAAATGCCTTAGCATTCTTCCGTCTGAGGCTAGGAGGTGTAGAGCTGTGTGTAATATTCTTCTTGTTTCTC